ATTGCTTGACTCTGTGAAGCATTTTGAGGTACACTTTGAAAGAAAGAGGCTATAAAAGTAAAGTGGTGGTGTGCTGAACTTTTCACTTGTGTGGGTGCCTATCAGCAGTCTTTTCTGTGTCCCTTCTCATAACATTCCTCCCACAGGTAATCCAGGAGCCTTCTCCTCTGCCGCCTCTGCCAATGAAGCAGCCTTCAGGTATCTTTTGGCTTTGTTCACTTTCCACTTCCTTTTAAATCTTGTCTGAAAACTTCTTTGTCTTTACATCTCTCAATCTCTACCTCCTCTTACTCTATGGTGCCCACCTATCTTTAGTAATGTTTCCCATTCTCTCTGAAAGAAGAGATCCTTTCACACAACAAGGGGAGAATTGGTTATGGAATGAGGGTTTATTTCCAAGTTATTGAATGTATTCTTAAAGAACAGGGGCCAAATCCCTGGCTGGTGTAAATCAGCACAGGTTCGCTGACTTTGAGGGAGCTATGCCCGTTTGCACCAGCTGAGGATCTGGCCTCTAGTTGGAGGTACATTTGAATGTAGTATTTAATTAGTTAAAAGCAAATTCTTCAAGAGCAGGATGTTAAAACCTTTGCTAAGATTCTACCCTGGGTACTTTGAAGAGGACATCAGCAAAGCCAGATGTGTCTCACACTGGATTGAGAATTAGGAGACCTGGATTCTAAGCTTGCCTCTGCCACTGATTTTCTATGTGACCTCAGGCAAGTAGTTTCATCTCTCTGTGCTTCTGTTTCCCCTCCTACCTTTTGTCTGTCGCACTATGTGTTTGTACAGCACTTAGCAGTTCAATAGATCCACATCTCAGTTGGGACCGCTAGCTGCTACTCTGTGGTGCAGTCCTGCTATTTAAAATATAGGTACTCTGCTCTGCCAGCATGGCCATGCATATACAGGGTGTGCAAGCTCACGCTGTGTGGAGATGCTGTTTTGTTCTTTACAATGGACACCTCCATGCAGCTGCATGGAGGACACCATTTTGTTTCTGTATAAAATAGTATCCTCCATGTGGTGTGACCTCACACAAGTACAGTGCATGCGAGGCCATGCTATGCAGAGGATGCCATTTTGAGAACAAAATGGCATCCCTCCATTCAGTAAAAGTGCCGGAATGCTGTTCAGGTGTGATCCAGCCCCACGACAGCACAGCTGCTACCATAATAAAATAATACTAAAAAAGCTATACAATTGGGTATTTTTAACCAAGGGAGGAATGCTTAAGATGTATCACTAAATCCTCTCACTTCATTTTCTGTATTTCTTCTGATTGTTTACTCTGAACGCATCTTTGCTATTGAGAGAGATTATTGTGAGATGTGTATGACCCTTTGAGATATAACTGAATTGATTTATTTTGGTTTACTTGGGATTTACTGTAGGCCTTATCATGTAACCTACACAAAGAACCAAACACCTAATTTACTCTGAGGGGGGACGCTTGGACTTGGTTGGCAATAAATACCTCAACTCTGTGATCAGACCCATTAGAAAGGAAAGCTTTTATTATTGCTTAGAGCAGGGGTAGAGTGGGGAGAGGAGAGCATCTTCTGAGAGGGTGGTGAATGTGATCAGTGTGTCAGGAACCTAGTTACAGGTATGAAGCTGGGAAAGGAGGCAGTCTTCAGAAAGAGGGCATTACATTTCAAATTTTCTAAACCTTTTTTTTTTTTTTTTACTGTTACATAGGATGAATGATTGAAAGTTTGTCAGTGTTGCCGACTTCTGTGACATTTGGTGATTTTCTTAAAGCCCCAGCTGCTGGAGTCAGGTGATTACTAGAGAATCTCAGTTTCATTTAATTTTTTGTTTGTGTGTGTATGTGTAAGTTTCCAGCCTTGAAGGGTTGGGGAGAAAAAGTGTAACATGTATAGCAAAGGCACCCTAAAGCTCAGAAACAGAACCCAATATTTATTATTTTAAAAAATATTTGGATTTTTAAGCCCATCTCATGATTTTGTGGGGGTCTGGCTCATGATTTATGAATACTTGTGTTGGTAATATGGAAATCTGCTCATTTATTCAACTGTCACATCTCCCCCGTCACGTGTATGTACCCTAGGGTATTTTATAGGGTGATTCATGAGAGATGGCCTATCCAGACTGGGTTGTTACTGTAGAGTGACTCTTATGCACTAGGTTGTTCACACATTGATTTGTCATCATGGGGCTGCTTAGTGTTGAGCTTCGAGAGTTCTTGAATTTAGAAGTAAAAGGGCTATTGAAATATGTTTTGGATTAGTGAGTTGGGAAACATATAAAGAGTTTGCGAACAGCTTCAAGGCTATATCCATGGAGCTATGCTGGAGCTACTCCACCTGAGGTGCTGGCCCATAAGTTACAGAAAATGTAGGCTATGATGTTCCAGAAAATATGGGCTAAATCCCACTCCTGCTTGTTATCGATTCCACTGACAGTGGCCTGTCACAGGAATCGGTGACTAAGTATTATCTCCCCAGTAGCAGCACAAACAGAGGAGAATGTAGATTTGCTTCTCAAATGATGTCATAACTGAACTCTGTCGCTTATTGGCTACATGGCAACAATAGCTCAGAAAATAACTTGCCTTCTTTCAAGGGGGGAGGGGAGGTGGGGGCAGTGATGGAGTGTTTCTAAAAGGCTCCTTCTGTCCCAGTCCGATCTGGCCAGAGGTGAAGGAAATAGCATGAAATGCTTCTAGTGAAAACATGATGTGTCTATTGTTAAAAGTAATTTCAGACCATCTCTTCAGGATTTTAACAATTTTAATAGTAAAAGAACAAAGAATAACCTGTTACAATGTGTACATGCTGCAGTAGTATTTCATAAGGTTTTTTTACATATATTTTTTTCCTTGCAACATTGACAACTCTCACAGCTTCTTCTGAAAATTAAGATTGCAGGGGCTCTCTTGTTCTCTCTTTTTTTAAAGACCAAAAGAGAACATGTTTTAAAATTCCTTTCATAAATCTTAAAACTCCTTAAAATGAAAGGAACAATTATCATCTTAACCCCCCCCCCCCCCCCAAAAAAAAAAAAAACAACCTAAGACCAACAGCAGCTGCCCCAAAGCCCCTGCAAAACAGGACTTCAGCCAGGTATGGGAGCTAGCAGGGAATGTATTGATTTTGGACTCCTTTGAAGAGGAAACCTAGCAATACTCTTATGGCAGAAGGGAATGTACCAACACAGGGTTCAGAGGAGAAACTATATCAATACCTTGATGTTCACTAGAATGTCCCAATCTCTGGACGCCTTTAGAAAGAGGGAACTTTGAGAATGCCCCAGTGTTTGCTGGCAGAGAACAGTCCCAATGTCACAAGGTCATGTCTCAACCTGGGACAAAAATGGGAGCTCAAGGGCTACTCTAATGCTCAGTCCTTTTGTTATGTTCCTAATTAAGCACACTGATGAGAGAAGCAATGATCACACTTCTCTGTGTGATCCAGAAAGTGGAACCAATAGGCCTTTTCCCAGACAAATTATAAGAGAGGGTCAGACTCTGAGAGGGAGAGATAAGGGTCATATAAATAGAGCAATTTAAGGTGAGAGAAAGCACAAGAAAACTGACATCCTTATTTAATCAAAAAACCAAAGGCTATTAAGTATGACTGAAGATAAATGAAATAAGTCACTCATATTTAAAAGCTAAATACAAATCAGACCTGCACAGAGAAGATTTTGAGAAAGAGGAAGAGCTGTAAAAGGAGCGAAGGGTGCAAGAAACGAGGAGCAACAGTGCATGAAAAACAAAGGTTATAGATGGTATCTGCCTAACAAGTAGTCCTGTGATTGGTTGAGGGGGTTTCCTGCAACTGTGGGGCCTACTTTCGATCCTCCCTCTGTTCACACATCTGGGCAGAGTTCCTCTGGGCAGCGTCCACTGGCTCCCTTGACACCTTTGAGGAGCAGTGGTGCTGTCCAGGGTTCTCTGCTCTGTGTCCCCCACAGGTTTCCTACCTTTGACCCTTTGACCCTCACACTTATCCCTGTTATTTTTCCATTGTCCCATGCAATTATTTGAGTCCCGGGCCCAGTGGATCCTCCCCATGGGCTGCAGGAGGGCGCTTTACCAGTGGGCGGGCTTGTGTCCACCGACTTCCCGGAACCCAGTATGAAGTAGTCTTGTGATGTAGTTCGCCAGTTGACACGCAACTTGTACTTGTAATGGTTACATTGCTGTAATGTGTTTCCTGTTTGTGTACTATGTACTGCCTTCTAGTGACTGGCCTATTGAAAATAAAAGCAGTACAACTGACAGCTAATGAGCATATTCCTTTATCTTTAAAGTGATGAGTCTTGTTTTTTTGGATTAAAGATCCTCACAATAGCTGGTGATGATGATGCAGCCATGTATTTGTAACAAATCTTTGCGTAAATTGATTTTAAACTTTACACATATTTGCTAAACATTTTCAAGTAAGAATGGAGATATATATAGAAATCATTAGTTTGACACATGCAGTGTAAACCACGGAAAGGTAAATTTGAATGAAGCTCACCACAATGATTAGAAAGATGACATCCTCTTTTATGAGTATCAGACAATAAAAACCACTTGTCCCTTGACTCTGAACAAAATTAAAATCCTTTCTTAATGCAAGAGGGGAAGGGAATATTCTTGCCCATTCTCTGCACAATTCTGAGTGTGGCTAAATGCAACACCATTCACCAGCCCAACAAGGACAAAGGCTGCCAGAGATCAAGAGATAGATCCATAAGGTTAAGTAGAACTACTCTCCTTCTGCCTACTCCCAGTTGTTCTCTTCCACCTGCACCCCAACTTGCTGCACCAACCTCTGAGATCTGGAGTTCAACTTCAACACATGCAATCTGCAAAGCTTGAACTGGAGAAGGGCATGGAAAGAAAATGCTTCACATTCCATGGTTGATAGGGATGGAGTGATGTGGGCGGGGACAGGGGATGGGGGCGGGGGGAGGGCTACTGTATGCTGAATGTGAGGGAGAAGGAGGTAAGTAGGACTCCAGCTTGTGCTAAACCTGCCCTGTACTAGAAGGACTGACCTAAATCTGGCTGGTACACAGCCCATGCCTTAGGATATGTCTACCTTGAGTCGGCTGCCTGTGCGAGGGAACTCTAGGCTTGAGCGGCTACATTATATTTTTACCTTATATTAAGATTTTTCTAACCCAGGCTCAAGCGTAGGGCTCTGGCGTCCACACTGCAGTGCGCAGACCCAGGTCTTAGTAACCATATCCCAGAGTCCCTAGCACCTCCACCCTCTGAAATGTGGCTTTTCTAGCCCTAGGACCATGGTGCACTGTGGGAAAACTTTACTGCCTACCCTGCACGTTACCAGGAAGCAGGTCACTTTGCAAAAGGCTTGTTCGGTTTGTTTTCCATTGCAAGCCCAGGAGGCCCTCTGACAGTGTGCTTGCAGATCAGTGATCAGAAGAGAATGGGTTAACACTGACCTGAGCTGCTGCCGTTTGCCATTTTCACGAGAGTGGACTGCAGATTGTTGGGATAGAGAGGACCAAGGAAGTTGTCCCATGGAATTGTGGGATACTTCCAGCTGACTCCAGGACCCGAGACAAGCGGGGCTCTGTCAACATTGCAAAGCAATAGGGTCGCACCCTGGGTTACAGCTTAACTCCTCCAGCCCTGCAGGGTCTGGGACCCTGGGTCCGAGCCCTGGATTAGCGCAATTGCAGTGTACACTGGGGGGTTAGGCTTGAGCCAAGGTTCATGCATAGGCCTACGTTACAGTGTAGACATACCCTTAATGTGCTATATGTCACTGTCAAGTGATGATTGCAATGCTTCTCCATTTTCTTAACCAACAACTGGCAGATACCATATTTATATGAGGACCAGCTTGTACCAGGAACAGGAAGGGATTTCTACTTATAGGATATGAACGTTTATATCACTCTGAGAGTCACTTGATCAGAATGGCAACCTCGCAGGATAGCAGAGGGGTGAGTGCTGTGATAGATTTAGCTAGTGATCTTGAACATTCAGGCTGTCAGCTGTCCTTATTGGACAACAGAAATCTAATGACTACTCCACTAACCTGTGGATAATATAGGGAAGATGTAGTATTCCCAAGCCCTTCTGTTCTATGGCTGTGAGGTGAATTTTAGTGGCAGATTCCCTATGCAGAGCTCACATGAGAGACTCCAGGTTCTCCTTCCTAATGAAAGGTGGATAGGTGACTCTGAGGACTCTGTTCTCTATGAATATACACAGAGCAATTGATTGCTGGCTCAGATATCATGGGAATATCATCCACATCTGTTGGACTTCACATACACATGGAAAGCCTGAGAGTGTCCCGAGAGTGGCGGATAGGTTTAATTCAGAGTTAGATTTCATAGGGTCAAGGGTGGGAATACAGGATAAGACTTCAAATAGGCACATACAGACAGTATCTCAGGAAACTCAGAGCAGGGGATATAGGGTGAAAATTCATACATACAGCATCCCAGGAGTCAGGGGATACAGGTGAGACTTCACACACATGAATACTCCAGGGGGAAGAGAGGATATTTTACAGAGATGTTTAAACATTTCCAGTAGTTTCATCAGATGAGGCCTGGTGAATATTCAGGGTCCCTGATAACTTCTTGCCAAGTTAATCTGAGAAGGAATTGTTTAGGACTAGGTGAATTTCATGAAGCCACCCTGCACGTGCTCAACAGAATCTCGGCAGGTGGATGGAAGGGCCGGAAATAAGTGTCAATGGTGAAGAAGACCATTCTGGAACCTTGGAAGACACCATTCTGGTGACTTAGATGATACCAAACTGCGCCAGCTCATGCAGTTCCAGATGGCTGAAAGCCTCCCATGGACAGATCACTGTGATATCTGCAAGACAGAGAGTGAAACTTGACAAGCTCAGCACAAGCTCCGTATACCTGATTGATTCTTCTGTCCTATAGGGATGGGCAGGCTGCTTTATTAAAGAAATAGTGCTAGGTGAAGGAGAAAGGAAAATGGGCCTCTATTCGAAGACTAGGCAGAGAGGTGAGGGACAATATTTCCCCACCCCATCAGGGTAAGAGTGGGCAGACTCCTGCCTCCCGCTACACTGAACTAGATCAATGGTTCTCATGTGGCATCTCACCTCTTGCTGCACCAGAAAAAAAAACATAGTCCATGCAGTCTCGTATCTCACCTTCAGCAACCGATAACTAGAGTTATTTGAACAGCTCACTTAAAAACTTCTGATTAATTTTGCTTCCCCGTTTGTTTGTTTTTATAACCAGATTGTGATTTTCTTGAATACTTTTGTTATCTGACACTATTTGCTGAATAATCTTGGCACACTGTTCTAGGTGTGTAGATTATTGGGCTGTGTCTGATGTTTGAAATCTGAGCTGTTTTGATTGGACAGATCACATGACACATTTCTTGTCACCGGGTGGATGAGTGTAACTCTTAGAATAAGGAATCTGGTGAGAATGCTAACAATTAGCAATTTGAAATTCACTTTCTGTGATTTTCTTGCATTACTGGCATTAAAGTAACTGTTTCTGTGAACTTTCCTGCCAGTGAAGTAATTTGCTAGAATATTTGCAGAAAGCAAAACACAAGTGAGCCCATTCACAGCCAAGTGAATCCATTTAAAAATTCAAACAGACATAAATTTTTCATAGTATTTGCCTAATTCCACAGCTGATAGAAGATTACAAGGAAGGGAGGCTGGAACACTCACAAGGCACCTTGGCCACTTGTGCAGTGCTACATTATGGAAGGACAAAAATGAAATTTATACCTGACCATAGTAAGCAATCATCTTAAGCCCTGAAGCATGAAGGCTGATTGTCCATCTGTCTTGTAGGGTTTAGACACAACAAATCCTGCATCTTGTCAGGAGGTTAGACTAGATCACCCTTGCTGTCCCTTCTAGCCCCATGATTCTATGTTTTTGTAACAGAAATACTTTAAAGGCATCTGAAGAGCAATATTAAATATGACTTACCTGTTCCAAGTCCCTCCATACCTGGAATGTCATCTCCAAACCTGTGAGAAAGGACAACAGAGGAGAGGTGAGACTGGAACAGAACCAAAAGAGAAGTATTACCTCACACAGGGTCTTTCCTAACTGAAGGGAGATTGGATCAGCACCTGAGAAAAGGGAATAGTTCAACGAGGATTTTGCTAAATTACAGGGACAAAGGACAAAAGATTAGCAGCAGAGGAGTGAACAGCTCACAAGAAGTTCCTCACTGCCAAGGGGACGTAGGGTTGCCAATTTTGATTGGATGAATTCCTGGACATAATCACATGACATAATCTTTAATTAAAGATTAATCTTTAATTACTGGATTGGCAACACTAAAAGGGAGTGACACAAGAGTATAATACAAGTGTTTCCTGGTTTGGCATAATGGGTTCCATGGAGAATTTGGTGCAACTCTCTTGTCGGACTCATATGGGGGAAGTGTCACTTCTGGCATGATTTCCTCCCTATGAGAATGTATCTTGCCTTTTCATGTTCTATTCATGCAGAGATCATCTGAAAGCTCCCAGATATGAGAAGGTGTATCAGATCTCCTCACTGCTTCACCTAATATATGGGAAGGGACATACCACTCCCTGGAGCTCTCATTAGTGCTCTTACCCTTTTACTCCTTTCTTTGGGGGCTTGCTTTTGAACTGTCTTGTCTGCCTTTGCTTGAACTTGGGAGGTCCCTTGCGTGGTGTGGTGGGACCAGTTGCCACTTCTGTGGTGTTGAGGGTATTGGCGTCGCTCATTCTTGGGTTGCTGTATGCACGAGGTACTCTTTCAAATCTTCCTGTCTGTAAGACAAATGCAGATAATGAAATGGAAGGAGAGTGCTCAACTTATGACTTCTAGATACCATCAACCAGAGGAGGAAGAAAGGACTATAACTTTGACCAGAGCCTGGATGGAGATTCAACAGCCAGGATGGGCAGGTTTGGTGTCCCGAGCCTCTGTTTGCTAGAAGCTGGGATGAGTGACAGGGATCACTTGATGAGTACCTGTTCTGTTCATTCCCTCTGGGGCACCTGGCATTGGCCACTGTCAGAAGACAGGATACTGGGCTAGATGGACCTTTAGACTGACCCAGTATGACCGTTCTTATGTACAGTATAAGAATCAGAACAGCATCTGCAGTCACACTTGCTCGGATAAAAATGGCAAGTTCTCAGTCTCCAAGCCATGGGGACACCAGCTGGGGGCAGAGAGACATTTATCCCCTTAGCAGGATATTGCACAGTGACCTGCAGACAGATGGTTACCCCTGCTTCTGAAACATGCATTACTGGTTAATGTTGGAGACAGGTTGCTAGAGCAGAAAGGCCAGTAATCTGTTCTGGGGGAGCAGGAAGACTAGTACTAATGGAGCTAGACAATTGGTTTGTCCTACTCTGGTAAGGCCTATATTTTTATTTGCAGATTTAGTATTTACCTACTGGGTGCCACATCACCATAAGAAAATGTTTATAATCATTACAGAATATCTAGGCAATATGGACTATTAGCCTCCTAGGGAAATAGTTTTTCCCAAGATGTTTTAAACTGGACCAGTGGAGAATATATTTTAGGAAACAATCCTTCATTGACTAGGATGTGGGAGAGTGTGAATGGGTGAGATGGCCCAATAGACATTGTCCATCTCCAATTTTGATGATTTTAAGTGTCATGAACAACGGTTTTGCATACTCCATTGCTGCATATGGATCAGGCCACAATTCCATATCGTAAAAAGGAAATCCAGGAACAAGGCTAAGTAATTAACACTGTGTGGTTCTCAAATCTGTACATCTGTTCAGCAGATTGTAAAAGTGCCAAGGAACCATTTGGTCACTGTCATCCCCTAGTGGATGGTGGACTGGAAAGGATATGAATTCAATTGCTGGCACATAGAGGACATACATTCTCTTTTGCTGCTTTGGTATCTGAGGGTCCTGTGGTTCTACACCCTATAGGACATGGATCCCTGACACCTGTGTCCCATGGTGTCACCATCCCTTCATTAAGTCTGATGCAGCTCATTGCACATTGTTCAAGAGCACCCAGTGGTATACTGGTTAAAAAAAAAAAAGTGGATAAACTAGCCTACAATACATTCCATATTCTCCAAAGGAGAAGGGAGTAAACTCTGTTTACTCATTTTACCCTCAGCTCCACTCCTATGTGCACCCATGGAAAAGGCCATTGTCCATCTTTCTCCCTTCCTGAAGTCACATACTTCCCTTCTTTGCGTTCATCATGTAACTCCTGTCCTAAAGCATTTCTGTTGGTTCACTTACTGAAAGTTCATGCTAACAAGTGTTGGAATTAGCTTCATGGTCTCAGTACTGACGTCAAATCCCTTTATGTCACCACAGTAACTTTAGTATAATCCTCCAAATATCCTCTTTCCCTCCCCCACCCTCTGTGATGACGCTACAGTCTGCAGAGATGAGATCTTTCTAATCACCAGCCTATAAAAACCACCAAAGAGCTGAGAATATTTTTAGATCATTGACAACCATGGAATGAGAGGGCTTCTTGCCCCTCATCAGTGCCTGCACTTGCTGTAATTCTTTCCTTTAAACAAAATCTGGAAAGGTCAGGGGGGACAGCCTGAGGAGCAAAAAATATATTCTTAGCAATTCCATTTTAACGTGTGCATGTGTGTTGATACACCACATACTTTGAAATAAGAGTGTTCCATACAAGGTGCTCAGATACCTAAGTGCTGAACACTCTATGAATACCTCAATAGCTACATCTTTCCATACACTAATACACGAGAGACTGAACGGTGAAAGCCATCCCAAGTGAAATAACAGACAGTAGAGTTTGCAGTGACAGCCAGGAATAGTTTGAAATGTATATGCACTAGCCTTGCTGCCTACAGTATATCCATAATCTTCCAAGGCACACTTGCTATACACTCAATTTGATCACAAACCTAGTCACAGTAAATCTAGTTATGTATCTGTCTTGTTACCTATATGAATCCTGTCACCATAGTATCTGAGCATCTCCCAGGAATTTATGGATTTATCCTCACAACAACCCTGCAGAGTGGGGAAACTACATTTTATAGAAGAGAAGCTGAGATACAGAGATTAAGTGATTTGTCCAAGGTCACAGAGTAAGTTTGTGTCAGAGCCAAGAATTATACCTAGATCTCCTGAATCTCAGTTTAGGGCCAAATTCACTGACGAAGTAAATGGAATTGTGCTAATTTACACTAGCAGGGAGTTTGGTCCCTATTTTCTTAGCCACAAGACCATCTTTCCTTTCTGAGAATGTGTTATTTAAAGAATTGACAAAAAAATTTTTAAACCCTGCTGCTTTGCTCTAAGAAATGTAGAGCTTTAAGCATAAAAATTAAGCATCGTGCATGGGTTATACCTGCCTACACTTGCGGTTAAAGCATTGTGCACTATTCTCAAGAACAATAATAATCAAGGGGTAGTACACAGTTCCAATGATGTAGACACCCTCCTGGAGTACTAGAGGCACAGGGCAACAGAAATGTGTAATCCATATCCAGAGAACATCTCTAACCAGCTTTGATCCACTTTGACAGACCCAGATACTGTGCTGGCTGCCTCCTATCCTGGCCACGAAATGTGACATGATGGTAAAAATGGCTGACTGAGATTTTTAAGCCTGGATACTGACATCAGGAAACTGGAGAGGCAGCGGGGCTAACATCTATCAGTGAGATCACTCCCTGTTTCAGCAGACACCAGGCTGGTGCTAACACCACACTCCTTCCAGATCATAACGCCTTTGAGAGGCAGCGGCCTCCAGTCCCTCAAAGACCCCTTGGCCCCGAGCTCAGGAAGAGAAGCAGATAATAGGAGGGCTCCGTCTGTGGGATTCAGAGCCTTTCCTCCACCCCACTCCTAAGTGATGTTTCAGCCACCTCCACCTGGTATATGGTGGGAGAAAGCTCAAGACAAAACCATACTACATCCTATTTCTCGTCTGCACCGATGTCACAGAGTCACAGAATCACAGGGTTGGAAGGGACCTTAGGAGATGTAAGAGAGAGGGGGAGACATGGGATTCAAGAGGGTTAAGGAATTACAGTTCTCTCTTCCCCTCAGCACCTTCATTACTCCTGTTCTCCCTACCCATCTCCACATCTTGATGGTGCCTTGGGAAAGAGCACAGAGCTTTTGGGTAGGAAGTAGCCTCAGTGTTGGGAGAGTTCATACTTCCTTCATCTCAAGCTCAGCACCAGACAGCACAACATCAGTGTGCTGCCATTACACTGACAGGCCAGTGAGAGTTAATTTCCATCCACACACAGGCAAAGATGTCTCTGTTCTTGCAGTGGAGACCAATTCTCATGGACACAAGAGCTGCACCAATTCTTGTCCTCTGTGACCAACTCCTCCGGAACCATGCAGGACCACTGAGTGGGGCTGCAGCCCAAGACTCACAGAAGTAGGGGAAACACACAACACAGCCTTCCGCTTGTGTTTTGAAACCCTCTCTATCCATTTATCTATGTACTCAGATGGTCCCCGTCACCCCAATACTTAGGTGCCTGCCAAACTCCTACTAGATTTGATCTTTTTCTATGGCACCTCTTTGAGTTCTCTGGCGCCTTACCTCTCAATACGTTCCAGAGGCTTTGCCACAGCTCCCCTGCCACTAATGTCACTGCCAGACAGTGAAAGATAGTCCCAGGGTGAGAGAACTGACAGAACCAGTAGCTGTGGATTCCTGTCCTTTCCCAGTGAAGGTTGCTGGACAACTGAATGTTCCTTCACATCCTCTGCCCTCCCTCACACAGTGTTATCTAATTGGCTCTGACAGGATCTCTACTTGGCCCAGGATTTAATCCATCTGCGTAATAGCCTTGCTTGCGTCTGAACACTAATTTTACCTAATACAATCTGTCCACAGTGATGTTCTTATCCCAGTGCTGGCAGATGACATCCTACCTTGTGCTTCCAATGCACTTAAGGAGGCTTGAGTACTAGTGACAAATAGCTGCTCTTTAATCCACCCCCTTCACAGCTTTAATCTCTGATCCTCTATGGAAAATTTCCCTGACAGGCGAAATAGACATCTGACATGATCTTCTTTATAGCAACATCAAACAGATTCCCCATGTGGGCTGTGACCTTCCTCGGGTCCGTGCCCTGGGAAGGTCAGACACGCACTACTGCATGTGTGCTGGGATCTGCAGTGCAGCCCCCAAAATGTCCCAGGTGGGTTGTGATCTTCCTCGCAATAATGCCCTGGAAACACACACCGTCTCCAGGTAGAAATGCTCTCGCTGTTTTATTCCAGGTGGTGATGTCCTCACCATCTCAGCTATGGTCCCCATGTGTGCTGCAGCAGTGATCTTCCTTGCAGCAGTGCTCTAGCTAGAGAACTTTGTGTCCAGTATCAGACATAACTGTGGCTGAATGGAGAGAAGACCCACAGCTCCAGTGCCAGTTGTTTGAATTGGGGATGTAATGAATATTTCCAGCCTCGGCCACTGCTGATGCCTGTAACCTACTGCTCTGAGCTCTCTGACTCTTTTCTCTAGCAATGGTTTCAAGACCAAACAGAAACAAAAAAGGATACACTTAAAAAGAGGGTCAGCTTTTAAGCTAGTTCTAAGTAGAACTGAAGTCCTGCAGCCCCCTCCTTGATGGGAATCCTAGGAAATCCCATCCCATCCTGCTAAGGTGAAATGGTGAGCTTGGAAGACAGACAGTTACAGAGAGAAAGGGTTTATTACCAGACTGGGGAAGGGGGTATCTACCTGTGTGAGCAGAACCCTTCAAATACCTCCTGGGGTTTCAGCAGTACCTTGTAAACAGCAGCTGAGGCCTGGACTCCAGTAGTGTCTTTACCAGACTGTACACATTTTACAGCAATGCCCTGCCAGTGCCTGCCACACCAAGACTCAGATGAATTCCACAACAGCCAAGCAACAGTCCAAACCAAACAGTCACCAAGAAAAACACTAAGGAAGAAGCTGCTTCCAAACTAACCAGCCTCTTATAGGTAGGCTGACTATTCGTGCAAGATTTCCATTTACTCCAGCCGCCTTTTTCGTTGCTGTTGTTGTTGTTGTTTTGTTGCTTTTTTTGCTTTGGCAACACCACTCCGGCCACTTTCTTTTTTGTAGCTTCCCCCAAGTGTCCCGATATTTTGTCAGTTTCAGCTGGTCACCCTACCTTATACTAAGGTAAGAGACAGAGCAAAACATTACCTAAGAAATGAAAAACTGTCTCTTCCAGACACAAAACTCCAAACAATTCCCCAGTGGTTTCATTAGACTTTTCTCAGCTCAGTTTCTCTCTTTCCTCCCACCCTCCCTCCCCACCATCAGTCTGGGGTACACAGAGGTTGTAGGGAAAACTTACAGTGCTGAGAGCTTCTCTCGGAAATCATTAAATTACCTTCCTCCGGCCTGATTAGAAAAATCTCTCAAAGACGCAACTCATTCTCCAGAAATAGTCTGCCCGCAGGTGACGTCACAGACTCAAGGCACCAATCATGAGGCATTCGTCCTTGGAGGATGGCAACCACGTCTCCAAGACCTTTGATCCTGGCTTTATTGAGGCTGCATCTAGGGGAAGATTTAAAGAAACATTATAACCATGACATGCTCCTAACGGAAGGCCCAAGTCGGTTTTCTGAGTTGGGAAGGGAATGTGGGGAAAAGGAATCCTCCCTCATCTCCAACAATCTAGTAGCTTGGGGCAAAGTAGTTGAGTAGCCCACTGCCACTATTATAGCCCATGGGCTAAGGTAACAGCTAGGTCTTCTGGGTGCCCCTGCACTGGAGTAGAGAGGTTAGGCCTGTGGATGAATGGAGTGACAGAAGAGGCAGGTAGGGGTGTGATAGAGAAGACAAGGGGAATACAACATTTTGTGAGGACATTTTACAAGGGAAGCAGATCATACATTGGTCCAAATTAAACTCTGGAATAACTCCACTGATTGTAACATACTTTTTTTTAAAGACCTTTGTTTTTTATTTGGGATGTCTTTTAATGATCAGGTGCACGGGCCTCAGAGGAGAGCAGTGACAGAGATCTAGATGAAAGCAGTGAGTCTGAAGATGATTTTGAAGAAGGCCAGATCTTCAGCTGATGTAACTCCATTGACTTCAGTGGGAATATGCTTATTTACACCACCTAAGGATCTGGCCCAGGGAGTGAGGTCAAGGCACAGAGGAAGGGGTATACTGTTCTGAGAACAGGGAGTGGAATGAAAAGAGATACAGAAATTGCAAGAGGAGAAGGACACAAACATAACATTAGAGAGAGAAGAGTGGGAGAGAGAGTGTTGTATTTCTGAAGCAGGTATCTCTACCTTCCAGACTTACCCAGTAACCTTTGAAGTAGCTACAGTGGTGTTTAAAAGGTGATGCTGCACCTATTGATAGAAAGGATTCTGGGGCACATCTGGGACCCAAATGGCCGGCTGAACAAGAACAGGGAACTCTCTGAGAGGGTAAAGCAACTGAGCAGAAACTCCTGGTGCAGAAGAACAGTTCAAGACTGGACTGTTGATGAGTTACCATAGCATCGCAGTGCGATTCCAGTGCCCTATTAAGTGTGGCATCCGAGGCAACTACCCACTTAGTTCAGGCCTGTGGCAACCTCATGTATGATTGCATTGCTCAGTCATACTGCATTATGTCAAATATCATGAAGGGAGTGCAGTGCTGGGCTGAGCCCACCTTCTGCCTGGCCTGAATGCAATGTCAGAGGTGCATCAAATACTGGCAGTATTGCCAACTCTAGCAAGTGTCACAGGTCTCACCATAACTAAGTCCAGATTTACAAAGATATTGACTTAAATACTCTGAAGATCTGTGCCTTGGTGTTTTCTTTGAAGCGTCACATCTTGCAGGTTGGCCATTACAAGCATGTCTACACTGCCATTAAAAAACTGCAACAGCTGACTTGGGCTTGTGGGGCTCAGGCTAAGGGGCTGCTTAACTGCAGGGTAGATGTCCGGGATCGGGCTGCAGCCTGGGCTCTAGGACCCTGCAAGTTGGGTGGGTCCCAGAGCTCAAGCTGCAGCCCAAGCTGGAATGTTTACACTGCAATTAAACAGCCCCTTGGCCTGAGCCCTGTGAACCTGTGTCAGCTGGCACGGGCCAGCTGCAGGTGTCTAATTGCAGTGTAGACATACCCTGTGTGAGAATCTCAGCTTTCTTTAAAAAATGTCAGTAAGTCCCTACTTTCACGGTTGTGGAGAAAAGCTTGAAAATGTGACCTGGGTGTAACCTAAAGGGTCTGAAACCAGAAGACAAAGAAAAAGAAGCTGAAATATATTTTTCTAGTATCCTCATGATTTTTAAGACAATCTCATAATTTTTTGAGGCTGGACTAACGATTTTTTAATATTTGGGTTGTCATCTCCTCCTCCCTGCAGGGACTGGCTCTGGCACACAAATACTGAGGTTAAACATGGTCAGCAGCTTCCTGCAGGCTGGAGCAGCCTTGGGGATATAAGCAGCTGCAGTATGTTGGCACCAGACTCTCCTCCCACACCCACTGCTCATTCCCAGTTCTCTGTCTGCCTCCAACTGGCCCAGATGTCTGTTTTCTCTCCTTGTCCCTCTCTCTTATATTGAGAGCATGCTGGGAAACAACTGTTTTGTTTTCCCCTGTGAAAAATGTTGATGAAAATGAAACTTTTTTTTATTTTGTTGAAATTTTTCTTTGAAACTTTTTTCAGGCTTTTGTTCTAAAAGTAAAACTAAATTATGTAGGTTTTCAGCAACCAAAATTCCCAATTTTGCAGTTTAAAACAAATCAATTTTTTTCTGAGAAAAACCTGAAACTGTTTGACGAAAATTGTCATTTTTAATGAAATTTTCCATTTTGTTGAAAAAGTCATTTTCCAGTGAAAAAGACATTTTGACAGAAAATACTCAACCAGCTCCATTTATGTTCTTCTCTTGTCTCTCTTTTTCATCCCTTTCTCACTCTTTCCCACTGTTGCCTTCCCTTTTTCTACTGCTCTCATTCCATCTATTCTCTCACCCTCCCCTTTCGCTTCTCTTTCTCTCCTGAAGGTGCTGGACTCTGCTTTGCAGGGTATGTGTGTGTGTGTGTGAACATGCAGGCAAGCGTGCACTTAATGCTCCCTTTGCATGGCACTAACAGACATGCAGGAGTGACTGTTGTAATTTTAAGGAGCATCCCAGCTGGATGATGGGATTTGCTGGGCATGATGGCTTGACCAGGAGTCAAGTACCAGATCAGTTCCCTCTGTGTGTCCATGGCTATGGCCTCCCACATTGCTGCTTCATACTCTGGCTTCCATCCCTTCTTGTGATTGACTAACACAGTGAGAAATTGAGTTTCATGCTTTTTTTCAACTCCCACGTAACACAGCTTAGACCTGAACAGGGCCAGAAACTGGGGTCAAACAATAACAGTAATCCTGTCTCTATGGCCCTGGAAGGGAGAACCACCACTCTCAATGCTGCTGTAGGGATAGCTCAGTAGTTTGAGCATTGGCCTGGTAAACCAGGGTTGTGAATTCAATCCTTGAGGGGGCCATTTGGGGCAAAAATTGGGGATTAGTCCTGCTTTGAGCAGGGGGTTGGACTAGATGACCTCCTGAGGTCCCTTCCAACCCTGATATTCTATGACCTTTCCCCCTCCTTCCATTCTAAGAAATCTTTTGCAACCCCTCCCCCAAGATCTCAAACCCTATGGTAACTATGGTAATCATAACTATACTGGAAATAACAAATTTGGCAAACTTTAATGATACAGGAAACACACAATTTAAAATACACTCACAATTCCATGGATGAGTTTGTCTTGCTATGAAAAGATATCTGACCTGAGGCTGAAATATAGCGGGCCAGATCCTTGACTGGTGGTTCTACTGGCATCAGTGGATCTATACTCATTAATTTACACCAGCTGAGGATCTAAAACAGCTGATACAAAACATGTACAATATTTGTTATTTGGACTAACTTGTCACTGTCCTTTTCACAAAACTCTCTGTCCTTCTAAATCCCACCTAGGCCAGAAATGAATTTCCAACAAACAATAAAAATACTTACACTCTGATTGCGATCTCACTTATATTCTAGAGTCATAGAACTGCAGGGCTGGAAGGGACGCCTTAAAAAGTCATCAGGTCAAAGTAAACCTAGGCCATCCCTGACCGATGTTTGTCTAATCTGTTCTTTAAAACCTCCAGTGATGGGGATTCCACAATCTCCCTTGGTAACCTATTCCAGTGCTTAACCACCCTTAGAGTTAGAAAGTTTTTTCTAATATCTAACCTGAATGTCCCTTGCAGCAGCCATTTCTTCTTGTCCTCCCTTCAGGGGACATGGACAACAATCGATCACTGTCCTCTTTATAACAGTCCTTAACAGATTTGAAGACTTTGTCAGGCCTCCTCACAATCTTCTTTTCTCAAGACTAAAGATGTCCACTTGTGTCAACCTTTCCTCAAAGGTCAGTTTTTCTAAACCTTTTATCATTTTTGTTGCTCAGGACTCTCTCCAGTTTGTCCACATCTTTCCGAAAGTGTGACACCCGGCATTGGACACAGTGCTCCAGCTGAGGCCTCACCAGTGCCCAGTAGAGTGGGACAGTTACCTCCTATGTCTTACATACAACACTCCTCCCATACTCCTCCTCCTCCTCCTCTTCCTTGCCCAACACCTCCTCCTCACTGTTCACTTTGGGGGTCTATGACTCCAGCTCCTCCCAAGTATCGGGGGACTCTTGAGGGCGGGAGGGGAAGGGGTCTCTGCCGACAATGGCATGCAGCTCTTTATCAAAGCAGCATGTCTGCGACTCTGCACCAGAGTAACTGTTAGCCTCCCTTGCCTTCTGGTACAACTTTCACATGGCACTGCTGCGGGTCCCTTTTGTAGCCCTTCTCCCCTGACTGAGCTGCTCGTAGATAGCGATATTTCTATGGCTGGGCCAGAGTTGTGCTTGCACAGCCTCTTCTCCCCAGAAACGTAGGAGATCCACCACCTCCTATGTGCTCCTGGCAGGAGTGTGTCTGCTGCGTGGAGCTGGCATGGTCAGCTAGACAGTCGTTGGGTGAGCTTTCCACACTGAGCAAACAGGAAATGGAATTTCAAAAATTCATGGGACTTTTGAGGGGAGAGGCGTGTACCTGTGTACCTGGCCACCAGGCAGTGGAGTTCAAAACGGTGACCAAAGCAGTCACGGTGGGGTATTGGGGGACACCTCCTGCAGGCCACTAAAGTCGACGTAAGTAACGCAGTGTCTACACTGACGCTGCATTGACCTAACTACATTGAGCTAAGTGCTATGCCTCTCATGGAGGTGGAGTTATTAAGTCAGAATAGCAGGCGAGTTACATCAGCAGGAGCAACATTTTAGTGTAGACGCTTACAGACTTAGGTCGATTTAAGCTGCCTTACGTTGACCTAACTCTGTAGTGCAGACCAGGCCTGAGACATTCACTTGCTGTTCTCTAATTTGCACCTAGGGGGACCTGTAGAATCCTTCTCTCCCTATCCAGAAACCTGTCTCCTTTCCTGTATTCACCCTCTTCCTTAGGGTTGACACCTTTCTAATGGCTGCTAACTGGACCCACAAGGCCCTACCCCTGTTTCACCTCTTCCCTTGAGGCCAGGGATGGCAGGTTTGTAGAAATTTTGGTGGTGCCCAGAACATGTAGGCTCTGGGCTGGGGCAAGGGGTGGAGGTGCAGGAGGGGGTGAAGGGTGTAGGCTCTGGGAGGGAGTTTTGGGGCAGGAGGGGCTGTGTGGGAAGTGGGTGGGGGTGCAGGCTCTGGGACGGAGTTTGGGTGCTGGGTGGAGGCTCTGGGCTGGGGCAGGGGGTGGGTGTGCCGGAGGAGTTGAGGGGTGCAGGCTCTAAGATGGAGTTTGGGTGCAAGCTCTGGGCTGGGGGTGAGGATGCAGGCTCTGGGAGGGAGTTTGGGAACAGGAGGGGGTGCGGAGGGAGGGGGTGCAGGATCTGGGAGGGAGTTTGGGGCAGGATTAGGTGTGTGGGAAGGGGGTCAGGGTGCAGGCTCTGGGAGGGAGTTTGAGTGCTGGGTGCAGGCTCTGGGCTAGGATGGGGGTGCAGGAGGGGGTGAGGGTGCAGGCTTTGGGCTGGGGGTGGGGGTGCAGGCTCTGGGAGGGAGTTTGGGGCGGGAGGGTGTGTGTGGGAAAGGGGTGGGGGATGGAGGGTTGGTGGGGGTGTGTGGCGTTTACCTGGGGCTCCTAGGCAGGGCGGGCCGGGGGGCCTCTGTGTGCTGCTACCCCCAGGCACTGCCCCCACAGCTTCCTATTGGCCACAGGGGCACTTGGGGTGGGACATAGACCCACCCCGCCCAGGGACAGCAGGGAGGGGCCAGCAGCTACCTGGAGCAAGCAGGCAGGAAGCTGCTCAGCTCCCCTGCGCTGCCGGTGATGGGTGGGGGTCCCGGGCCATTTTAAATCACCCGGGGGTGCAGGGGGAGTGTCCAGGGGTGGAAGGTGGGGCCGAGGGAGAGACCCGTCCTCAAACAGTGCTGGAGCTGGGCCCCGGGCCACGAATATTCCTGGTGCCCAGGCTCCACGGGCCCATAGAATTTGCCTCCCATGCTTGAGGCCCTTCCCTGTTCTCCACTTCTTCCACAGGCCCTGCGCCTGCTCTGACTCTTCCCCCCAGATTGAAAAAAAAACTGACATCAGAGCTTGTCAAATGGCATCCAGACACACAAGCCGAAACCCAGACTGTCCAGGTGAAAACCGGATGGGTGGCAACCCTACTCTCCTAGTTAGAGTGCCCTCTCCCTTCCTGGGTCTCTCTTTCAAGGTATGTCTACATTGCAAAAAGAGGTGTGTTCTTAACTCTGGTCAGCTAACCCATGTTAGCAAACTCAGGTTAAAATAGCAGGGATGACATGCCAAGTTGACCTAACTCAGGTTAGCAGCTCAAGACAAGCCCAGGCTCCCCTAAAGTATCTCTACACTGCAGCTGGGAGTGAGCCCCCCAGCCCAGGTAGACAGACGTATGTTAGTGGGGCTTGTGTCTGCATGCTAACAGCAGCAGTGTAGATGTCCAGGCTCGGGCTGGAAGCACAGGGGGTTGTGTTGGTTTGAAAGCCTGAGCTTCCGCCTGAACTGGAACATCCACACTGCTGTTTCTAGCGTGCTAGCTTGAGCCCCACTAGCACGAGTCTACCTCTGTGGGCTGGGGGGCTTGCTGTGTCTTTGCTGCCATTTGAACCTGATTTAGCTAACCTGCATTAAGAGCACACCCATTTTGCAGTGTAGACATACTTGCAGTCTTTGACCCCTCTTTCCTTTACCAGACTGTTTTTCAATCCTTCTGGCTCACTCCACTCTGCCCCTTCTCTGTGTCCCCACCCAGGTCCCTATTTTCCCCTTTCTTCCAGCTGCCCCCTCCCGCCACTTTCTACCTTTCAGTCTCTTTCTCCCTGCCTGAACCACCCTCTCATTTCATCAACACCCTCTCCCCCAGCCTTGCCCCCTTTGTGTGTTTGATAGGTGGAATGCTTCATGAATTTGCGTGTATCCTTGCGCAGGGGCCATGCTAATCTTCTCTGTATCATTCCCATTTTAGTATATGTGCTGCCGAAGCAAGTGGGAGAGGCAGCAGCAGTTGCCCAGGGTTCCTGTGTCTTCCTTCCTCACCTTTGAACTGGGGACTGGAGTTATGCGATTAGCACTTTAGCTGGCTTAAAAGCTGCTTAATTGGGCGTTAAGTCTCCAATCTCTCCCCCCCCACCTCAGGCAGAGCACTCCATCACGTTCCCCTGGGCTCAGGTTCCCACCTGACTGATTCCGTGCCACCCAACCTGGAAAATACCTGCAGTCTCATCCCTCTGAATGAATTTCAGGAACCTACTTCCACAGGAAACCTTCTTCAGTAATATGGGTCAGGAATTACGGAAACCCATGAAGGCCCCTGCTGTGTGCTGTGTGTCTGGACCATTCCATGTGTGTCCCCTCCCATCTTTGCTAAACACATGCTCTGTGACCTTCAGCCTACCACATGTAGTGCTGAGGCATGTTAAACACACACCCATTCCTATCTATACAGAGGCTCTCACACTGTGCACATCTGCGCCCATACCAAGGTATGTATTCACATCTCTGTCACTTTCACTTGCCACATAAACTAGTGTACTAGCAGAGTGAAGTAGTGTAACAATGGGGAAAATATGTTGTAAGTTCCTGTGAGTAGCAATAACTTCAACAGGATTTATGCTTTTAAATGATCCCTCAGGCAGGCTGGGGACTTGTACTTGTATAGCATATATGCATTTATACAATTTCAGTTACTGGGCCAAATTCTCCTGTCAATCCCACTGAAGTTGCTCTACATTTATTTTGCAACTTTCTTCCCACAGAATTCCAAAGTACGTCACTAGCTTACCATAGAGACAGTTTCCAAGAGATACTGTAAATTTCATTGGGGCAGGGGGGATTTCTGCATTTAGAAGGGAGGCTTCCTACTCTAGCCTAGGAGCCTAATATAGTCAAATTTCATTGTGTGGGCAAGTCAGTGATGGAAGGGTCAGGGAGGTGTCATCTGATTCATAAAAATCCACAGAATCATCATTTCAGTGGTGTTACCCTTGGTAGCGTCACAGGAGGGACTCACTATCCTCGGCTCCCAGCTCCTGCTCCTCCGGTTGGTAGAAATTTTGATAATATAATGCATCGGAAATAGGGCGAGTTGGGTATCATTCGAAAGCCCTTTCCCCACCCCACCCAAACTCAGTTACCAAACAAGGCAAACCTAGAACAATTATGTAGATATATATTGGAGAAAATGTTTAAAAGGCAAAGTTGTGGTAATTACACTTTAACACCAGGATGCATTGCTTACATAAAAAAAGACTTAAAGCGTTCATTCATCGGAGTCATCATCAGTGTTGTCTCTGTCTAGGGCACCACTGCTAGATGCATTGTCACACTAATCCTCATCCGTTCCACACTCATACATCTCCATAAGTGATAGGCTGATGGCCAAACATTTGCAGGGCGGTGAGCATCTGGTCTTTGCACATGACCATCGATTAGCGGAAGGATTGATTCCAGAGCGTGTGGTGTTTCAAACATAACTGGTGTGATCAGTCCATTCTCCAAGATCCATCTATGCCCGATAAAGGAGAGTAGTTTTGGATGCTGTCAAGGTTCCTTCCCCACTCTGAACTCTAGGGTACAGATGTGGGGTCTTGCATGAAAACCTCCTAAGCTTATTTTTACCAGCTTAGGTTAAAACTTCCCCAAGGTATAAACTATTTTACCTTCTGCCCTTGGACTTTTGCTGTCACCACTAAACATCTAACAGGGATATAATTGGGAAAGAGCCCATTTGGAAACGTCTTTACCCCCAAAATCCTCCCAAATCTTACACCCCCTTTCCTGGGGAAGGTTTGATAAAAATCCTCACCAATTTGCATAGGTGAACACAGACCCAAACCCTTGGATCTTAAGAACAATGAAAAAAGCATTCAGATTCCTAAAAAGAATTTCAATAGAAGAAAAAGTCAAAAGAATCACCTCTGTAAAATCAGGATGGTAAATACCTTACAGGGTAATTAGATTCAAAGCATAGAGAATCCCTCTAGGCAAAACCTTAAGTTACAAAAAGACACAAAAACAGGAATCTACATTCCATTCAGCACAGCTTATTTTCTCAGCCATTTAAAGGAATCAGAATCTAACGCGTATCTAGCTAGATTACTTACTAAATTCTAAGACTCCATTCCTGTTCTGTCCCCCACAAAAGCATAACACAGATGAAAGAAAGAGAGAGAGAGGCTTTGTTTCTCCTTCCTCCCAGCTTTTGAAAGTATCTTGTCTCCTCATTGGTCATTTTGATCAGGTGCCAGCGAGGTTATCTTAGCTTCTTAACCCTTTACAGGTGAAAGGGTTTTTCCTCTGGCCAGGAGGGATTTTAAAGGTGTTTACCCTTCCCTTTATATTTATGACAGATGCACTTAATCATCCTGAGGCCATTCCATTGCCTGGTAATTTGCCTTCCTGATAACAGATGAAAATGCATCCTTTGTCAGTGGCATTTTTTCTCTGTTTGTCTGCTTCTTGGAAAACATCCACTTATGTAGCTCAGCAAATATCACAATGATGGTCTTCAAATACTAAACTTGGCATATGAATGCCTCCAGCTGTTCCAAGCATCTTCAGAGCGAGGAAGGAGTCTTTGGTGGCTGAATCAAATGCCTTCCAGTAAGATAATTTGATGTTTCCAGCCAATTGTCCAGTAGTGTCACATTCGGAAATGGCATGGAAATCTTTCAGGATGGCGTCTTTTAATGGTTCAAATTATAGGATATAGAGCAATTCTGATGGATATAGAGCAATTCTGTTCCCCAGCAGGAGGCACAAAAACAAAATCTTGCTGACGTCTTGGGTAGCATCTCACAGTGAGCACTAAAACATCTGTGTCTTGTGCAAATATCCAAAGTTTAGTAGCATTTGTGGCATTGATAGCATGCAAGATTATATTACTGTCAGCCTCCTCATGGGAACTACAAAGAAACTCCACTGAATAGTGAGAGGCAGCAGCTTGATTATACCATGTGACAACCAAATTCTTCAAGCAATTCTTCACATGCTGGAGTGTTTTTCCTGCAAGATATGCATTTAACTCATCCTTCGTGTGAATATGAGATAGTAGCTATTTCATTGTGGCACTGGAGATGTTCATGGAGTCAGTGAATTTGTATTACACAGGTCCAATAGCGTGGAGGCTCTTCTTTCTGGTAATACTTTTAATTGATTTTTCTGCATACATGTCAAACACTAGGTGGATTTCATCATAGGTCCAGTATTTTCTCCATGACATCATACTGAAGTATTCAGCCCAATCTCAGCAGGTGTTAACAGGTTCTGGTTTGCCGAGAACTTGTACCTGAGTCATACCATCTATGATTGCTCTGCTGAAAGGCCCCTGCCGACATAATGTGCCGGTTACATTGTCAGTAGGTCCTGGCTTAGGAGGACCATACAAGATGTGCATTAGTTTGCTTTTCACCTGGCACACATGCATTGTTCCATAGCATTCGAACATCAATCATGATACCTTGGAGAACTCGGACTTTCCCAAAGTCTCATGTAGATCAACATCATACTAAGATCTGGACATGACCAGGACATGAGCACCCGCGGAGTTGGCGCCTATGTAACCAGGTATCATGTTCTGAGCATTAGCCGGTAACACAGTACTGTCAATCAAGGGCTACAATGTAACTTGGTGAGGGATGCATGTTTGTCATGCCTGTGTTAAAGTATAATTTTAAAAAGTTGATTTTTCAACATTTTCTTGAATAGTTATCTATATAAATGTTCTAGGTTTGTCATATTTGGTACCACTGCATTCGTGGGAGAAAGGGCCTTTGAATGATGCGCATTTTTGACGACATTGTGCAGTATTATCAACATTTCCACCAACCAGAGGACCTGGAGCTGGGAGCCTGGGGAGGAGGGCAGTGAGTCCCCCTGCCATACTGCCGAGGGTGACACCATTGAAGTTAAGATTTTGTAGCTTTTTATGAATAAATGACAACTGTTTTATCTTTCTGGGGAAGCCTCGGGGTGAGACTTACAACTACTTTGCATCAGCTCTACTGGCATAAGGTTGCTGCAACACAACTGTGAATTCCTCCCAGAAAAGATCAGTCACTTGTACGGCTGGCACAGTTAATGATGTAGGTGCAGGACCAGAGGAAATTATACAGAGTAGAGTGAAGTCTAATTAAATAATAATACTTGTAAAGTTCTATACAAGTGCACATTTATACCCCTCACTCAAACATCTCTACATTAAACATTGTTTGCACTAGGAAAAACATAGGCTTTATAACTTCTCATCATTAAAAAATGCTGGAATCTTTGCTCCAACTTCAATCACCTTGTGTCAGAGCCCATAACTAGAAAATTTCGCCTCAAAGATGAATGTTTGGGAAACTTACAAGCATGTGAAAACAAAAGGTTATGACAGAAATTGGTCTGCAGTGTTAACTAAATCTGGTGGTCACCAGTTGCAACTGGCAGAATATAAAGATCACTTCATCCCTTGCTGAAATGCAGCTACCTCTGGGGTGGAATATACCAAAGGCATTAAACAGCATACAGCAACATTCTGCAAAATTTCAGACACAAAATGAAGAGGACACTATATCCAACTGAACTCAGGACAGCAAAATGTAGTTACCTACAATATGTTGTCTATTGCCTGTTGATTAGAAGTGAATACACTGATTCCAAAAATTAAGAACTCCAGAGACAAACCCTGAATATAAACCACCACACCACTTGGATCCTCTCTTTCTCTCTCTCTTTTATTTTTGGTGAGATTCTGAAATGTATTGATAAGGGTTTGGCCTTCCTGGTTTCAGTGGGAGAGAGAACCCAATGGTCACTGGGAGATCTAACCATCACATGATCCTCTACCCCTTCCATTACAGTCACAGAAATCTCTTCTTCCAAAGAGGGCTAGTCAATACTTAATTATGTTCTAGGGTCTCTCAAAATGATGAGTGGTGTACTGGGGAGAGTTTGATTGATCTTTTATGCCTCCTGCCCTCCTCCACAATTTTAGAGAACAGGGATTGTTGCATGGTGTTTGTACTTTGGGGATGAGACAGATTTGCATGCACTGAAAGGCTAATGTGCAGCTTTAGTGAGATTCAAATGAGTGTTTCCAATTCTGCAGCTAACTAAAGGGGTGGATAGGAAGGCTGCCTCCTCCAAAAAGATAAAGCAGGATGGTGTTAGAAGGAGTGCATGGGTTTACTTCTCAGCTCTTCCAAACATCATGAGAGCCTCCTGAAGATGTTAAAAAGTCTGTGAGATGCGCAGAAGTTCACCCTGACCCGCTGGGAAAAAAACCCTCAAATAGACGGAAGCCCAGGACTGTAGGAGGTTTGGAAGGGGAGTGTTGCTGACTCTCCTGCTTTTATCACAATATTAGGGTTTTATTCCTTAAAGCTCCTGGATTCCTGTGATGATATGAGAACCTCAGCATTTTTCTTAATTACTAAGTTTCTAGCTTGAAAACATGAACCCTAAAGGCTCCAGTACCAGATGGCAACTAGAAAGAACCCCACATTTATTTTTTATTTTTAAAAACTCTTATGATTTTTAGCCCAATCTCATGATTTTTGCTACTTGACTGATTTTAGATTTTAGAACACTTGGCCTTAGGGGGCAAAGGTCGTGTGGTTTAGGAAGGTGCCTTTAAAGATTTGGCTAAACTAGTAAGAAACGGTCAAACTTCTGGATACTTCTCTGATCCAAACTCAGACTCTGACATTTTGAAGTTTGACCACCCCCTCCTGTTGATGTGTTTAGTATTTCAGGGCTTCTTTATAGTCAAGACAAGTGAGGCACTGAGTGTGTGCCTTCAATGCCGGGAATACCATCAGACATGATATGCCTCATGTCAAACCTGGTCTCTTGGCCCTTGGCCAAAGATAACTAGCATTAAAACCTTTAACTTTTTAAGTTAAGCATCAAACCTAAACGACAATACCTAAACTGACTAAACCAACAACTAGAGGCTCTGTCTAAAGAGCATACAATATGATGGGGGCTAATTTAGCTACAACTAATCAGGAGAAAGATCTTGGAGTCATCGTGGATAGTTCTCTGAAGACGTCCACCCAGTGTGCAGCGACAGTCAAAAAAGCAAATGGGATGTTAGGAATAATTAAAAAAGGGATAGAGAATAAGACAGAGAATATCTTATTGCCCTTATATAATAAATCCATGGTACGCCCACATCTTGAATACTGCGTACAGATGTGGTCCCCTCATCTCAAAAAAAGATATACTGGCCTTAGAAAAGGTTCAGAAAAGGGCATCTAAAATGGTTAGGGGTTTGGAACGGGTCCCATATGAGGAGAGATTAAAGAGGCTAGGACTTTTCAGCTTGGAAAAGAGGAGACTAAGGGGGGATATGATAGAGGTATATAAAATCATGAGTGGTGTGGAGAAAGTGAATAAGGAAAAGTTATTTACTTATTCCCATAATATAAGAACTAGGGGCCACCAAATAAAATGAATGGGCAGCGGGTTTAAAACAAATAAAAGGAAGTTCTTCTTCACTCAGCACACAGTCAACCTGTGGAACTCCTTGCCTGAGGAGGTTGTGAAGGCTAGGACTATAACAGGGTTTAAAAGAGAACTGAATAAATTCATGGGGGTTAAGTCCATTAATGGCTATTAGCCAGGATGTGTAAGGAATGGTGTCCCTAGCCTCTGTTTGTCAGAGCGTGGAGATGAATGGCAGGAGAGAGATCACTTGATCATTACCTGTCAGGTTCACTCCCTCTGGGACACCTGGCATTGGCCACTGTCGGTAGACAGGATACTGGGCTGGATGGACCCTTGGTCTGACACAGTATAGCCATTCTTATGTTCAGGATCTTCTTTCCAGATTTGCTCCTGGTCTGTTGCAGCTGGTGGTTGGAAGGAACTTGTAAGGTGATGAGTCACTCCTGCGCTAGGCTCCAGCCAATCCACAAGCTAGGAACTGGCCATGTGACTTCCAGACCAGGTATATAAGCCTCTCAAAAAGAAAGAGCCTCTCAGTCTGCTCAGTGTCTCTGTAGGGCTTGGAACTCATTTTTGACTGACAGTGAAAAGACTCCCCAAGCCTTAGCCTGTTCTTTCTCCATCCATGCTTTCACTCTAACTCTACCCTGGACTCTTGATTCCAACTCTGACCACTAGGCATGACCCTCCTTATCACAGTTTCTCTCAGAACTGAGGTGATCAGGGTGTGACACACTCTAGAATGTTCAAGAACAGATGGGGGAGGGGTGGGTGTGTGGCCACTGCTAGGTAGGTTCCATTGTCTGAGCTGTACATGACTCCTGCATCCCCAAGGATCTACAAAGGAGCTAAGATTTATCATCTCCCATTTTACAGTTGGGGAAACTGAGACATGGAGCGGTGACATGACTGGCCCGAAGTCACAGGTCACTTCACCTCCCTGTGCCGCTACAGGCTGGCTGAATCCCATTCCAGCATTCTATCCAATAGGCCACATCATACATACTCCTACATCCATGGCTATACACAAACACATTCTTGCACATACAATATCATATGTACATTATACACGCATACCTATAAAACACACAGCTACATGCACCCCTTCCTACATGCACCTGTGCACACTCCTATAGCTATATACACTCATACGTACATCTTGGTATCTACACACACTTGCACACTTAAATACACAAACATGCATATACACACAGATTTGTATGTTTCCCTCCCACCCCAACCCCCCAAAAGCAACAACAAAACTCCATTCACTTAAAGTTGCTCAGGTACATCTCCTTTCCACACAATCATTAAAAATCTCCACCTGTGACATTTACTTTCATAGAATCATAGAGTTGGAAGGGACCTCAGGAGGTCATCTAGTCCAACCCCCTGCTCAA